CAAATTGAAGTTAAAAAATGACCTTGATTGAAAATGAAAAAGTAATTTAAAAAGAATTGAGGAAATATTTTCTTCTATATAAATCCAACTATCAAAGAAAATAATAGTTATTTTCCTTTTAAAGATTTTTGCTTTTTATTAGGTAATAATACATCATCATGATGTTTTCTTTTTCTAACACTTATTATTTTTCTTTCTTCATGGTAAATTTCATAAGTAATCCTTTCCTTTTTTAGATAAGTTTCTAGTGTCTGAGTATTATTTATTTTGAAAATGTAAGGAGCAATTTTTTCACCTTGTTCCTTTTTCAAAATACTTCTGATAGTACTATAATTCTTTGGTTCCATAGTAGACCTAATGTAAATTAGCTTCATATTAACTATTTTTATATAGGGATAGTTCTATATATCACTTAAGATAACAAATGGGATATTATAAAACTATTAATTATATTACTAATGACTAAATTTTGAACCCTGAAATCCTTGGTAATACCAATGCTCACTTTGTCTGGTTTTGTTGCATAAAACTATTAATTATATTACTAATGACTAAATTTTGAACCCTGAAATCCTTGGTAATACCAATGCTCACTTTGTCTGGTTTTGTTGCAGTATGCCCCAAATTACATATGTTTTCGGAAAATTCACAAGGATTTTTAGGATTTTAAAATTCGTTATAAAACTGCCAATTATAATCACATTAATTCTTGGTAATACCCAATTACAATGTTCACTTTGTCTGGTTTTGTTGCAAGCATGCCCCATATAAATGTTCTAAATAAGTTAACCTTTTTTAACCTAAGCATTAATATGTGTGATGAAATCATTGCACCATACAAAAAATTTTATTAATTTAATTACATGAATTTATTTATTTTATTTATTTAATATTTATATGAATGAACAAACATATTTAAATATTAATGTTGATGGACTTAATAAGCGAATTCCAAGATCAAGTGAATTTCACCTTTCTTTTGTCCTAATTTAACCCAAGTATCCGAATAACCTTTAGTAATAGCATCATGCAAATTAACTTTTGCTTCTCCAAGCTTTTGTTTTTTGGTGGGAAAATAAATTTAAAAAAAGCCCCCCAATTAGTAAAGAAATCACTATGATAATGATGAATTTAATGAATTATTTTACTTTATCATCCTTGATTAAATCTTTATCAAGCACTCTGACAGTAAGAGTTTTTTGTTTATCAACATCGACTTCACTAAAACAACAGTAATAAACAACAATATTATTATAAATATTATTATAAATATCAAATAATGATAACTAAAAACAAAGTTCCTTACAAGTTAAATACTTCATGGTATTTTGGATTAACTTGACCTTTCTTAGTAGCAGTTTTCTTTTTATCATTTTCATCAAGCCAAAGTTCAACATATGGATCACCTAATAGTTAATTCATCCAATTG